GGAGGGTGGCTAATTGACTAATTGGCGTGGCTCAAGAGCATAGTTTAAGCAAATATGTAAATTCCATTCAACTATTTAAAAATCGTCTTTTGAAAAACAAAGATACAAAGATAAACTGACTAGGGGAATTATAACAATTTTTGAAAAGTTGGACAAAGAAACTGACTGGAGTGTGGCTTGAACCCACGACCTCCGAATAATTATGCCGGTGCTCTACCAACTGAGCTACCCAGCCCTATGTTGGCGATGCCCCAATTTGTCAACATCTTTGTTCAAGGGGCGCTAGTCAGAAGCCATAAACCGGTCGTAGCCAGGGATCACATCAAGTCATGAAACAGACCCAGGAATGGTTATCTGGATATCGCAGGTTTAAACCCTGCTCAAGTCAATTTCTTTGTTCAACTTTTTCAAAAGTATAGTATAAAAGAAAAAGTGTTTTTCCTAATAATTGTAATTTCCATCGTACGACAAGTAAGCAAATGTCCCAACAATGACTGACACCCCTAGTGCAAGAATGTGGTCCAAAGCGACATTTACTGAGTTCAGCTGAGTTGAGTTGAGCATAAGTAGCTTGTGAAGAGATCACGTGCACAAATGTGTGCATGTGTGACATTACGTCTCTCGCTGAGCCACGTGTGTTAAGTAATATGGTGTACGTAAAATATATGTGTCATCACTTTTCGTAAAATTGATGACTAGGGAGTAGGCCAATAGAAAAAAATTCCTCTTTTCAGATCACTTGCTGTGTCAAGTTAGTGCAGGCAGGCCAGGATTTGTAACTTATATACAAAGACAAAACCAGAAAAAACAAACCCAGCAAAGTGAGATCAAGCTTTGTGAATGATCACACAGAAACCTGTTTTCTAAAGATGTTTTCGTGACCTTTTTATGATGTAGAGATTTGACTTTATGTTCAGTGCTGTAAACTGCTCCTACTTCTTCCAGCATTGGCTATTATCTTTACAGTGGCAGGAACCATACATCCTGCATGTACTGGTACGGTGCATGCTTTCACCTAGGCAAAGGAAAGCTTGCAAGTCTCGTCAGAAAACTGACTTTCAAGTAAACAAACCTTTCATTTGAAGTAAACAAACCAATCTTTTTTTGTGGTGGAAGAGCTGCTGAGAAGCATGTTCGTTGAAACAATTTGTCCACTTAAAAAATACTTCACAAAGGAATTTTTTCAGAAGCACAAGATCCGCGATTGCATGGTAAGAAATTGCAACGTATTTTGCAAATATTCGATATATTGAACATAATCGATATTGAAGATATACCGGTATGTATCAATAAATCAAAAATTCCGATACCATACAACCCTGGGAGTCAACTTATTCAGAACAATTAATTTATCCACGACTGTTTTGTGTAATGATACGTGCTCTTTGGTGTGTTCAAAGCCCATACTGTCGTACGGCGCGGCGCGGATCGGAGCACGTATTATTACACGAAACAGTCGTTGATAAAGCGCGACTTGTTTTTCTTCGCGATCGAGCAACGACGGTGACGTCCCGTCAGACGCCCTCATTCGACAAGTCGATTCAAGAACTGAGCCTCCCTGCAAACACATTGAGCTGTAAGTTTTCAGACTATTTTGCTGTTTTTTTTTTAAATTTTTCGCTGTTTGGGAACAATATAAGGGGTCTCATGGAATGTCAAGAATGTATAGATCAATCCAGGATAACTGTCTCTCTCATTTGTATTCTCTTTACCGTTTTTTTGGGGTCTTTTTGTCCTCGTGTGGGTTTGTGACTATGCTACTGTGACGGTGTCACCAAAGTATGGCAAATCGGTGGAGTGTTTGTGTGGAGGGGTACCCATAATTCAACGCTCCACTCAGTAGAGCTAGTTTACGAGTACTCTGACATCGTGCCCTTGTAGCTGCGCCGTCTTTGCGTAGATTGCAGTGATGGTTGCGCAGACAAAACGGGTATCGGTCTCTGTTTGCACGGTTCCAGTTCGTGGTCAAGGCCGGGATGCAGCTGTACGTAGAGTGTTTCCAATATTCAGCTGGCGGCATGGCACAGTATCGGACTGATTGGTTTGATGAGTTGGTTTATCGGTGAGGTTAAGATGAGAAGCCCTGTTTTGCACCTGGGGAGCATTTTGGTTCACTGGAAAGCACAGCTCAAACCTGCACTGAATAAAAATGGAATGAAAAAAAAAATCAGATTTTCAAATGTTGTTAACCATGGAGGAATAGCTCTCTTTGAATCACTTGCTCAACTGAAAACAAGAAAAGTAGTTTAGAATTTTTCTTCTGGGGTTCCGTTTTACAAAGGCTAAATTGTGAGTACCATTGTCCATTTGAGGGGGATAAAAATACAGACCTGTCAGGGGCGGATCCAGGAATTTTTGCAGAGGGGGGGGGGGGGTCAGGCCCTTCAGATTTTTTTTATCAACAAATCAGTGCTGAAATGTACACAGGTTTTTTTTCTCGGGACATTCTGGGGGCTGGTACCATTCTTCCAATTTCACAATAGGGGCGCTGTTCAAAACCGACGATCAGGCACACTATATCACACAATAGTGTATATACCCCTTTAACCCCCCCCCCCCCTTATAGTCAGGATAATGATTCACACCAGACTCGTTTGAAGGCTCTTACAATGGTAGTATCGAAAACGAAGACCCCTAAAACGAAGACCAAAGACCCACTCGAAAATAAAGAACCACTCGAAAACGAAGACCTGTTTTCGAGTGGGTATTCGTTTTCGAATACACAAAAAACATGAAAAAACAAGTCAGGTGTGTTTACAAACACAAATGCCCCGCAATGGTGACAGTTCCCATGACATAACACCACTCTTTTAACATCACCTTACATGTACCTTGGTCACATGGAACATTCATTGACAGCATTAGTGTCTTCTGTAGGTTTTATATGAATTAATCCCTAATCCCTATAATTTCAGAATAAATACATGATTTCTATTGTTTTAGCCACTGTGAACTTGACCCTTGACCTTTTGGCCCCAAATTCAATAGGCTTCTTAGGATTACCAAGAACAATCCACAAACCAAATTTGAAGTTCACATGTAAAGTATTTCTCAAGTTATTGCGCTGACAAGATTTCTATTGTTTTAGCCACTGTGAACTTGACCCTTGACCTTTTGGCCCCAAATGCAATAGGCTTCTTAGGATTGCCAAGAACAATCCACAAACCAAATGTGAAGTTCACATGTAAAGTATTTCTCAAGTTATCGCGCTGACAAGATTTTTTTGTTTTAGCCACTGTGAACTTGACCTTAGGCCTTTTGGGCCCAAATGCAAAAGGCTTCTTAGGATTGCCAAAAACAATCCACAAACCAAATTTGAAGTTCACATGTAAAGCATTTCTCAAGTTATCGCGCTGACAAGATTTCTTTTGTTTTAGCCACTGTGAACTTGACCTTTGGCCTTTTGGCCCCAAATGCAAAAGGCTACTTAGGATTACCAAGAACAATCCACAAACCAAATTTGAAGTTCACATGTAAAGCATTTCTCAAGTTATCGCGCTGACAAGATTTCTTTTGTTTTAGCCACTGTGAACTTGACCTTTGGCCTTTTGGCCCCAAATGCAAAAGGCTACTTAGGATTACCAAGAACAATCCACAAACCAAATTTGAAGTTCATATGTTAATTATTTCTCAAGTTATCGCGCTGACAAGATTTCTATTGTTTTAGCCACTGTGAACTTGACCTTTGGCCTTTTGGCCCCAAATGCAAAAGGCTTCTTAGGATTACCAAGAACAATCCACAAACCAAATTTGAAGTTCATATGTTAAGTATTTCTCAAGTTATCGCGCTGACAAGATTTGTCCGGACACACACACCCACCCACCCCGACTTGTTTCACATACGTAGTGTGGACTTTCCTTTCTTTTCGTGTAGTTAAGGAACACCAGTGGAAAAACTCATTTTTCTCAAACTGTGAAAACTCTTACAACCCAATTTTTTTTCAATGATTCCCTTTAGTGTTTCTCTTCATTCTGCTACAGATAAACCTAACCCAAAAATGCCTCTAAACCTGTTTTCCAGAAATGGGGAAACAAAGTGTGGACGTGGGCAAGTCCACACTTCGTCGCTGCTACCTACATTATGTGGACGTCTTTTGTTCGGAAGTCCACACTGCGTATGTAAGACAAGCTCACCCACCCACCCACCCACACACACACCCACACACCCACCCACCCACGGAAGGACGAGGCGGAAACAGTATGCCCCTTCGGCTTTGCCGCGGGGCATAAAAAGCATTTACGGTTGCTAATCATGGTAAGATATACGACTGTGCTTTTCTTCGGTTGCCAAATTTCCAGTGGGGGGGGGGGGGGGGCGACTGGCCACAATGTTATTTACTGGCCTCAATGTTATTTTAGCACCAGAAGTTGGTAGAATTTCGGATATAAAACTATCCCAAGAGCGTTTTCATATTCCATTTTCAAAACAAAAGACCATATAGGAATGTATCCAAAATATCAATGGAAAGATAGTGTTCTCACCACAGGGGAACGAGTGGGGGGGGGGGGGCTGGATTTTAAAGTGGGGGGGGGGGGAGAGTGGTGATTTCTGTAGCATCGGTTGGGGGTGGGGGGGTGGGGAGGAGAGAGAGATGGGAGGGGGGAGGAGAGGGGGAATGTACTATTTTCAATAGGGGAGGGGAGGTGTGCAGGCTGGTTTTAAGCCACTGATAAAACATCAGCTGGTTTTAAACACATTTTCTGTGAACTGTTTCGGTGACTTGGTCCAACATGTAAAAAACCTATGACCCATCTCCCTCACTGAAATAGGGCTGGGAGTTTACGGATAATTGGATAATCGGGTATCCGATAAACGCATGGGCTGGATTGTGTTTGAATATCTGTCAAAGAGGACAGGGATGATGGTGGGTTTGAACCATTCAATTCTGAGCAAACCAGAAAGTCACACACTATACACTCTTCCTCACATACTCATCTTAAGGTAAAATGCAATACAACAGAATGTGACTGACACAAAATGATCACACCAGAAACAATTGTGAGATACTAACATCATGTATTTTAATATGAAACCGGAATGCAATCCATATGTCTACTCCGTCAGGCTATTTATAACTGGGCAAGTCCAAGATTTTACACGCGTTATGTCCCAGGAAAGTTTAACCTTCTAAAAAGCAATTAGATCAATGTGTTGTTTTTTTTGTATTCTACTGTTGGACATCTGAAAGGAGAATACCGTACCCACCTTTATCGTCGTGATAAAGATGGTAGGTTACATATGGGACCTTTTCTTGGACTTGCCCTACTTGCAACAAATGAAAATTTTCTAGTTATGTTGAAGAGAGTGAGTCTATTAATGTATGATTACACTATAAATGAAAAAAAATATTAAAAACTTTGTGAAATAGACAGTGAATTGACATCACACTCTTTTAACATCTAATTATGTCATAATAATCTTTGAAATATTTATGAAAACAATTCCAATGCACCTTGTGAGGTGCCCTTTGTTGTTGATTAAAAAAAATCCTTTGTCTTCATTTTTCATGTAATAGTTTTAATTTTCAAGGAATACAAACCTCAAAACAATTGCTAAGGTTCCCCCCTTCAATCATGTCAATGATGTGTCAAATCAGTTATTCCATCTTTTGCAGTTTTTAAAACTGATCTTCCCACCAACCTCTGCACCAAAGTTTAAACAAAATATAAAAAATATATAACATAAACATTCTTTTCAAAACAAATATTTACCAAAAAAGTCATTAATTGGTGGATGGAATAATCCCAAAACTACTCTTGGTAATACTTAATTTTTTTAACCGTATTATAAGTCACACATGCAACTGGGAATTTAGAAGGAAAAAAAACGAGGACATTCCAAACCACACAAGACCTTGTGCAGTGTATTTCAATTTGTTATGGCATTCGTGAGAAGTACTAAAAAACGAGGAAATCAGGGATTCGAGGAAAAGTCGCATGCCTGTTAAGTACAATAAAGCCACTTGGCTAATGAGTCTCCAAAAATATAATTTTATTTACAAAATGTACATGGATTTTCCATCTTAGGTTGAATTAATCACAGCAAACATCATTGTTTTAACGTGATACATCAATACAACTGTTGTCAGGCCAACAAGTCTCAACTTGGAAATGGACCAAACCACCCATACAGCCTCAGAAATCAACAAATACCATATATCTACTGGGTTTTCAAATTAGTGATGTTTTTGTGCACACACGTAAAGATCTGAAGTCTACAGTAATTCTGTTTGCCACTTTATAAAGAGTTTCCAGATGTGGAATCTACACTTATTCACAAACATGGAGATTGTGGTAAACCAGGGATCTTATTTGCATAAACTGCTGTTGTTTTAAGAAATAGTTTAAGTCAGAGAATAGACTTGGAACTGTAGATTTGTGCAAGATTCGCCCCGTCCATTCTTAGCATGAATCTACAGTTCCTTGTCCATTCTCATTGACCCAATCAGCAAATCATACACACTCTAAAAAGTCTCGGGTCAGATTCGACCCAAATCCAGATCAGATTTGACCTGACAATTTTCCGGGTCAAAATAACACTTCTCTTGGGTCACCTTTCTGGCCATTTGACAAGAAAATTGTTATTTGACCCAGAAGAGTGTTAGTTCCAGTCTGTCTCGGATGCAAGGTTATATCTGACCCGGATGCAAGGTTATATCTGACCCGGGACTTTAAGAGTGTCAGTTTGACTTTGATGACAAACTACAGTGTCATATGTAGAGGGTGACCAGCTAATTATCTTACACGCAGTGTGACCCTATACTGACCATCTGAATCCACAATGTGTTATGATGTTTATGTTTAAATTGCAAGCAGACATCCTGGAATAACACATTTTTAATTATCTGTTTTTGGAATTTGCACAGGTCCCTGATTTTATATATAGTATTTTTTTTCAATGGTGAACAGCTAATTGTCTTACATGCAGTGTGACCCTACTGACGATCTAAATTGAGAATGTATTACCATGTTTTGCCTGTGAGAATAGTCCAGCTTAGGATTGAAACATTAGACCCTCTAATTTCGTTGATTTTCTTGTAAAATTTCCTTTTACTGAGAATGTTATCATTTTGATATTGTTATGTCTAGTACATGTAATTCTAGAGTGAGCTTGGCAAGGGAGAATTACAATGCAACCCTGAGTGATGGGAAGAGGGACTGTAACTCATCCCATCTGTCCAATGCCCAGAAGAATCAACTCAGTCAGTCTGGGCATGTTACCTACAGCCGAGGTAAAGTGTGGAATGTCTGACCGTGTCAAATTGCAATAGCTCAGGTCCAGCTTATTTAAGTGCATCATTTTGGATAATTCCTTGGCCCACACTGCAGCACATTTACCCAATGACCTGTTCCAACGAAGATCCAAGCCAGTCAGTTTGGGCATGTTACCTATAGCCGAGGCAATGTGTGGAATGTCTGACCGTGTCAAATTGCAATTGCTCAGGTCCAGCTTATTTAAATGCATCATTTTGGGTAATTCCTCGGCCCACACTGCAGCACATCCACCCAATGATGTGTAACCATCAAGATTCAAGTCAGTCAGTCTGGGCATGTCACCTACAGCCAAGGCAATGTGTAGAATGTCTGACTGTGTCAAATCGCACCAGCTCAGGTTCAGCTTATTTAAGTGCATCATTTTGGATAATTCCTTGGCCCACACTGCAGCACATCCACCCAATGACTTGTTGCCTTCTAGGATCAACTCAGCCAGGCTTGACATGTTACCTACAGCTGAGGCAATGTGTGGAATGTCTGACTGTGTCAAATTGCACCAGCTCAGGTCCAGCTTATGCAAGTGCATCATTTTTGGCAATTCCTTGGCCCACACTGCAGCACATTCACCCAATGAATTGTTGCTATTAAGATTTAAGTCAGTCAGTTTGGGCATGTCATGTACAGCCGAGGCAATGTGTTCAATGTCTGTGCTCTCCAGTTGGCTCAAGCTTACTTCAAGTTTCTCAAGGCTTGTCAAGTGTTTGATATGAGGGGCCCACTCTACAGCTCTACCTCTCAATGTATAGCAACCATTTATGTCAAGACTGGTCAAGAGATTGTTGCATTTCAGTGATGACAGGATTTTCTCAAGCTCACCCTTCACTAAAGGACAACTCCAGAGCATCAGATGACTGAGGTTTTCCATGTAACCCATGGCAAAGGCTAAACCACTGACTGAAGACACATCAGAAACCTTCATGGTTTCAATGCATGCCAGCTGTGACACCTGGAATTCTGACCTACAGATGATTTCAAGAACGTATATGAAAATGCGGAAATCAGTATTGTTATTCACCTCGATATCTGATGGGATGAGTGAGTAGCTGGTGAGACACCGTGGGACCTTTTTGGATTGGCTTTCAAAAAAACATTGTCTACTGATCGCTTGTGTAACAGCTTTTTGGTACATGTATCCGGGCTGATCATGCTCCTTGAACTTACGTTCAAGCAAGGTTACAATGTCTGTCATACACTTTTTATTGTCACCACAACAAAAACGTAAAAGGAACTCATTTGAAACAATGCACTCAACTGACCGGCAAAGTTGCCTTAATTGTTTTTGAAATTTTCCCATTGGTACAACTTTGTACACTGTACTCTGTACAAATCCCTGGCTTGACAAATGTACACTTTGCAAGTATTTCCCAGCACAGTATTCCTGAATAGTCTTGTGCGTGAATTGTATGTTGTTGTGGCATTTGAGGTCTTTGATAACTCTCTCCTGGGTTAGGATGCCCGCTTTCAGTGCCAGGTCCAGCGCATTTGGTTCAAACTCATCTTTTTGAAATGAGAAATTCTGGTCGGCACTTATGAATCCACTCAGTGCAGTTTTGCCTATAGCAATCACTGTTTTTGATGCATCTTCGGAGCTATATCCTTTTCTTGTAAACATGTTATCAACTGCCTCAGTGAAGAGGCGTGAAGTTGTTTTGGGGAGTTGTTTTTTCTCCCTCCACAACAAACATATGAGAAGAAGTAACATTGGGTTACTTGCAAAATCATGCATCGTGTTCGACTGTGCAATGTGTTGAATTAGTGCATTGACAACATCAGGATCTTTGTAATAGAATTTCCGAATGTATTCATTGACATCCTCATCAGTAAACCCCAGAACCTCTATGTGTGTGCAAGGATTTTGGACAAGTGATTTTGACATCAGTGTCTCAAGATGAGAGGGGCGAGTTGCAACACAGATGAAGCAATCCCTGTATGCTGTTCTATTGAGTGCTTTGAGGATAGAACCGAATGAGGCTGCATCAAGTGTTTTGGTCTTCATTTCATCAAAACCATCCAAAAGAATCAAGACCTTATCTGAGTTGCCCTGAATGAATTTATCAAGTTCAACTTTGGCTACTCCAGATGTTTCGCCTAGAAGTTGATCAAAAGTGGAATCAACAAGATCTGATTCTTGGAACAAGGCACACATCTTTAAAAGAAAGACAAGCGTGAATCTTTTCAGGATTTCACATGCCTCATCAGCCCAGTCATATGCAATCTTGTCAAAAATGGTTGACTTCCCGACACCACCAATGCCAAATAAAATAGCACGATTGAACTCAGTCTCGGGCCAATCTTTAAATATCTTGTCATACTCTGTAGAATATACAATTTCGTCAGAATATTCTTCTTCTACAGAACCTTTCTTTGTTCTAACCCGCAATTTAGTGTAAATGCCAACAATGGGTCTTTGATCATCAGGAACCCCAGGGTTCAACTGAACATAACTGCGCGTTGTCTTGTACCATTTCCTCAAAATGTCCCTGGTCTTGTAACCGACTTCTTGGTTGAGATCCGCCACTCTTGGTTCTTGGTCTGGTTTCCGAGTCTGTGGAAGTACTCCTGTTGAGGTCAAACAAGCAACATGCACTAGTAAGCAGCAGGTCACGGGTTTGTGATTTTTCTCATAATCACTTGGGACAACACTGAGTATACAGCGTTTATAAAATACCACGTCAGTGGAGGGCAAAACCCAATATTGAATGTACATGTATTATTTCAGTTTAACATTGTTTCTGAAACGATTGAATATTCTTCCTCTACAGAGGCAAATATGTAAAAGAAGTGGAGACTTGGGATTTACATGTACAGTTCGTCAGGAGGCAGTGTACAAAATAAAATTACCCAAAAAATAAACCCAAAGATATTTGTGGCTTTTGTATGGTACTTTTGTTAGACACAAGTTTGTCTCAAGTTGGTTTAAATAACATTCAAATTTTTTTCACCAATAAAAAATAAATGAAGACAAAAACTAGTAACTGCAGTGTGTAGGCTTTAAAACAGTTGATTCATTATTCCATTCATTCATTTATAAGTGCAAAATTAATACATGTTCGTGACTTGTGTAAAACTATCTTCACTTTTTTCATTTTCTTTCAAATGTGACACACAATAGGGGGCGCCATTTGGCATGGGTACATAAAGAACAAATTACAAGACTTTACCCACTATAAATAGAGCCCTACTCAGTGTGCTCACCATAGCCCTATATTGGTGACTTTCTCTCTCGCATTACCAGCAATCCGCTCTTTGTGTCCCTGATTGTGTAGTATATCACTGCCCCCCCCCCAAATACATTACACCTGATCTAATATATCAATTAGTGTAACAAACAAGATCACATTTACCTGCTCCATCCGACGGCGAGATGTAGAAGTTGACTACATTTGAACCAACAATGGTAGGATTGTTGCTACCGCTGACTGTGCTGATTTTTCCGATGGCTCCAGTTCGTTGTGGGGAATCTAAAATCAGAAGAATTAAAATATCTCTTGAAAGGATACTGACAAAATGATTCATGTACTTCATCTCTAGATGTAATCCGTGCTTTGAAAACTGTGACTTTTAATGAAGATATATAAGGCCAAACAAAAACAATGGTGTGTTTACAGTAACCCGACCGACCTGGGATTTTTGCAGCCAAACTGCCGACCTCAAACGTTTTATTGCCATTTTGCTAGTTGACAATTTTAAATTAGGACTGTGCATCAGAACCTAATTTGAATTAGGGCTGTGCATCGGAACCGCGTACCCAAGTAATGGACCGTTGATGTCAGGAACCGGTTCCAGATTATGGGATCGGGTACCAGTAACCAACTTTACAAATGGCTTAGTAACTTGTCAAACAATGAAAAGGAAGAAAAGGTTTTTATGTCATTTGTGGACAATTTTAAAATGAAAACCAGGCTATACATAGAAAAACAAAACAGATTCCCATTGATGACGCTTGCGAAAATGCAATTTATACAGCAAAGCTTAAGAACTCACTGTTCATGTACACACTGGTATTTTTCTGTATTGACGCACTGATGTGGATTGCAGTGACCTTATGAACAATGTGTACAGCAATTTTGAGTTTGGATTTCTTTAACAGATACCCGGGTTCCTGTATTTTTTGCAATCGGGTATGCCCGCTTCCTGTATACTACCCATAAATGCACACTCATATTTTGAATGAGAACTATTTGCAATATTTGCCACAATAATTTTCCACACTTGAAACTGACCATGATATCACACAAACATACCTGTGATAAAATGTGCAATCATGACGACGTAAAATCTTGAATAACACTAGGCCTTAAAAGTACATCTGTTTTTAATTTCACGTACAAGCTGATATGTTTCATTTCTTAGGTAGCTAGTACACGCAGAACTCATGTGAACCAACATGATGAATGAGTAGCGTGCAACACCAGCCAATGGAAAGGCCGGCGTACGCTTTACAAGCATCACTTTTCCACAGTATGTTTTTGTCCTTGATATATTCTTCTTGTTTTTAGAAGAACACAGCTTGTGTATGAGTTAGTGCTAGCGCTAGCCAGCCCTAGCTTGGGCTTGACGTATGTCACAATGTCATATCAACAGCTAGCTAGCTAGCTAGCTACTATAGCAGCGCAGGCAGGCGGTCCGTGATGGCCAGGTTCACTGCATGATCTCTGTATGGATAAATAGTTCGCCATTCCGGTCTCATGAGACGACAAAGCAGAACACATGTAGCAGCGGTCAAATATATTTTTTTCTGAGCAGAACTGTTCAAATTATACGATCCCTCATAGATACATGAAGATGTGATTCAAGTTTTCCTGTTGACTGATCTGACTGACTGTATACGACGGAGCTTTGATACCAGTATGATCCGCATTTTTGCGAAAAAACTTGATGGGCACGGGAAAGGATAATAATTAATATGTTTAAAATATTTATAATTTTTTTTGTTTTAATTAATAGAAGTTAGCTGATTCTTAGCTGCATTCTTTGAATTTGAAAGCCCCATCTTCCACTTTTTAAATCACATTATTTCAAACTTCCCTGCACTGACTGAAAATCCTGGCAAGACCGCTGTTTGTTTTACCTCCACGGTTACACAGAACCTAAATGGGGTCTATGATCATATCCTTGCCTGAATGTCAAGTTTTTGTATATTGAATGTAAACCTACAAAATATAACACTGGATGGCAAGTTTCATGTATTTTTTTAATGTGAGGAATTAATTGTATCGGATTGAAAATAAATCCTTGCATAATTATTTCCTTCTTTTTGGGTATAAATAAAATTAGATACAGTTTGTTATGAATAAAATCAACAATATCCTTATTCGTAAAAACTGTAGGCCTATTATTGGGTCCACCACCCATACGGAACCCCTGGCCAATTTGTTTTCAATGCACATATTTAGTTTGCATTAATGTGAGGAATTCATTGACTTGCTTGCCAACCCACTGACTTGCTTGTCAGTTTTGACGTCGTCTCACTCTTCACTAATGTCCCCACAGGCGAGGCCTGCAAACTACCTGAGGAAAGACTTGAACATTATACTACTCTTGGTGAACGCACAGACCTGTCCCCCGAACAAATTCATGATCCGTTACTAACATGTATTTCTTCCAGTTGTTTTGAGTGACAAGGCAAGTTCTACGAGCAAAGGGCTGGGACCTCCATGTGGAGTCAGGTTGGCGTAGCGGTACTTTCCTCGCCTTCCACCGCTGTGACCCGGGTTCGAATCCCACCTGAGCCAATATGTGGATTGGGTTTTCAGCCCCTGCCTGATTCCGTGGGTTTTCCCCAGAATATTCTTCTGGGGTTTTCCTCCCACCCAAAACTGCAACTTCTTCTCATTGTCTTCTCTCTACAGGTTTCTTCAGGCTTGCGAGCTACAGTGCCTAGGGCGCTTTTGAGGAGTCCTAGGTTTCATTTAATGATTAATAATAATAATAACCAGCAACACACCAGCATCAGCTTCGCCATGGAACAAGAACAAGACGGCATCATACCATTCCTGGACGTCAAGATCTCCAGGAATCCGGATGGCACCCTGGGACACAGCATCTACAGGAAACCAACCCACACCGACCGCTATCTCCACCAACGGTCGTTTCATCACCCTAGCATCAAGTCATCGGTCATCCGGACCCTAGTACAGAGAGCCTTCGACGTCTGTGACCAAGACAACCTCAAGCACGAACTTATGCACATCCAGGTATCACTACAATGGAACGGTTACAAACCCAACCGCATCAAGATCAGCAAACCTGACCAACGGGTTTCGCAAGACATCGGGTATCACCTCAAGGACATCTGGCCCCCACTCCTCCAGACTGATGGGTCTCCTATACCCTAGGTCCTGCAGCCCTACTGTTCAACCAATCAGTGGGCACACCAAGCTTGCTCAAGGCTCCCAGCTACTTGGCATCCACACAGGATGCAACTTCACATTTCATCGATTTTGCTTTTGCTACTTAAGCGTTTACTTTCTTAGAGTTTAGGCACTCTCCTGAAGACGGTCAGAGCATACTGACCGGAACGTCGAGTTTATACCTCTGGTTCTTTTCAAAACCATTCTCTTAGTTGAGAAATTATTCGCAAATGGTGTATCCGCAAACCTTTCATTCATTAGTATCTCCACCATGCAAAGCCTCAAATCTTACTTAGGAATTCATTGAATTGTATCCGACCTGAACACATTATTTTTTTTCAAAGTAGACAGGTGTGGAATAAAATAAAAAATCAGTGCAAACTTCCAATTCTAAATTTTAAGGTGTTTTATTATTGAGCTGTTTTGCTGTGTATCTTGAAGAATGAATGCATGTACATGTAGATGAACTTCAACTCTGGGTCAGCCTGCAGTTTTCTTTGGAGTGCATGTATGATCACCCAGGCCAAGTAGGCACTAGCTGGACTTGGAATCAGGAAGTTTTTTGTCTGACAATACATTTTCAATTTTCCAGAGACTCACAACATTTACACCAGACTCTGACAGGCTGACATTATTCAAAACAGATTAACCCTGCGCAAACAGTTGTATTTGGCGCAAAATCATATTGTTATTAATCTAATGGGGTAGGGAGGGGTAAAATGTCCCTGCCTACCCTCAAAAAATGATCAAATGAAAAAATCCTGGCGACGCCCATGATGTTAAGTGAGTTTCAAACATTGCAAAAGAGCATGCAAATGCAACAACTGAAATGAAAAAAAACCCCAAAAAACACAAAATAACATTACTTCCCTACCTACCAGTACCTATCTGGTGGTTTTTTTTGGCCGTTACCGTAAACAACACCATTTATTTTGTTTGGCCTAACATGTATAATTATGAAAAATCTGACTGTCCCCAAAACAAGTTGAAACCTGACGACTTACAAAAAAATCCTGGAGTGAAGTGGATGGGTGGGTAAGGTAGGTGAGGTAGGATGGGGGGGGGGAGGGGGGTTGAGTTGGGAGGGACGAGGGAGACCTCATGCCCCTCCCTCCTTCATAGATCCCATGCAAATGGTCTAGCTACTAAATGTACTCACCTGTTGCAGTTGAGGGGGTGGGTACCTGTGCCTCCTGTTGCATCGTGGTAGGGACATCAGTCTGGCAGGCTGCTTCAGATTGTGCATCCATGGTACTTTGGGTCACCCAGCCACACTCAGACCTTACCCACCTGCAGTGCGTTGATCTTTTCATTGTAGAAGTTTGTACTTTTCGGAACGAAGCCACAAATGGAAGTCCTGTTTGTCAATGATAAATAAAAAGTTGTAACACACTGGTCTTCATATTCCAGCTTCAATCTCATTCTTCAGCATGAAAATGTGTACTTAAAAAGTTTCAGTGTTTTAGAAAGCGAGTAGTAGTTGTCTCAATGTACCATTTATTTGTTAATAAATATGTGTTTGTCACTTTAATGCTTGGAACTGTCCTCCACAAGTTTGTATGTCATTCAGCTTGTACATGAATAAAGCCATACATAATAGGGAAATTTTGTTGTGGTCTCGAAGAGTTTCAAGGGTAAAACCAGGGACTTTGGCACCCGAGACCAAGACCGACACCAGCGCTTTCAAGACTGGACCAGCCCAGCCGGGACCGAGACTTTAGGGCGAGACTGAAACAAGACCAAGACCAAAAAAAAAGGTGGTCTCGTGTCACTTATAGCAACTGCACCAGACTAATGCACAGTTCACTGTCATTCAGTGAGATCAGTAAAATGTGACTGCAAAACTTCTTAACCCTAACAATCCCATACTAAACTAGTAAACTGATTACATGCTTTACTTTGGGTTAGGCATACCTACATAATCAGAGTCCAACAGTTTGGGTGCAGAGTTTGCCATATAGTGTTGGAATTTGCAAGAGTGAGGTAGGTTCCTAGTAAATCACTCAAGGGAATAAGGGCTAATAGGATACCCCTGACATTTAATACAATCCATGAAACAAAAAAAGAAACCAAAAAACAAGAAGAAATGAACCTTTGTACGGCAAAACTTACCGGTACAGTCGAGTTCGTAGCAGGTTGATTCAGAGACGTCCAAGCATTACAGCCCTGTACATGCAGCTGCCGCACCCAACAATCCCATGACCACTTGACGGAACTATATTATGCAAATTAATCCCTCAATAAACCTCCATATATGGCATTGACTCAAACTTTACAAAAGTTGCAAGGTCATGATTCACAACAAGTGCTTTGAAATTCTGTCACATGCAAGCAGTTTGCATCCAATATGAAACAAAACATTGCACTATCCATATTTGTCCTAATAAGTCTGGAGAATATCTTAATAAAAAATAAAGGCTATTTTTTTATCCTGGAAACCCCGCGCATCGATACAAATACATAAACCACATTTGTCCCAGCAGGCCTCCAGAAATTGTGTACATCTGGGTTTTCCCAAAATGTTTTATTGTCAACAGCTCCCGGTAGCCTGGAGTCAAGAATGGAAAGTTTTGTGTGGTCTGCTGTCATGCAAAGATCTACAAAGTTGACGGGTCAATGGGTGACCTTTCTTTTCAAATGACGTGATTTCATGATTTCATAAGTGCTATTTTTAGCTCAGCATCTATTCAATGCAACTTAATTCACTTTTGAGCCTTTAGTCAACACCTAGGCGTATATTGACCTCAACAGCTTGGTATACAGCAAATGTCTAGCGACATATTTGTAACACCCGCATTATGAGGAACTACACTCAACCAAAAAAGAAAGACCCCATAATATTTTGTTGTCTAACTCAAAAACTACTGAGCACATTTTGCTCAAATTACAACTAATCAGTATAGAAATTCCTTAGCAATCAAGCCATACTCTTTATTTGGTCCAAAACAGTGATAATGGGTACACAATTATGCAATTTATGACAAATGCTACCGCACAAACGTTGTATTTTTGTATAGGTGCAAGGTGAGTGTGAACCACAACTTGCACGTATACAAAGGTACAACTGTTTTTGGTGTCATTTGTCATAAATTGCATCATGTATTATCACTGTTTTGAGTATGGCTGGATAAGGAATTTCTTTACTGATTAGTTGTTATTTGAGTGAGAGGTCAGTAGTTTTTGAGTTCGACCAAAAAGTATTGGAAGGGGTGGACTTTCTTTTTTGGTTGAGTGTATGATACAATTTAATTTGAAAGTGCTTGAATAAGTATTTCAAGTAGTCCTACATCCTAAAGCTGGCACTAATGTATTGCCCGATTCTATAAAAGCATCAGGCCTTTTCAATAGCCAATCCAACAGTCCAACTAAATTGTTACAAATATATTGAAAAAAAAACTTAGCTAAAGTTCATCTTCAACCTGTCACTTCCTGCACAAAACCCTGATGCTTTCACCAAGAAATCCAGCTGCAAATTAAAGACGGACAACAGTTTTAAAACGCAGATTTCAATTTCTGAAGTTGGAGAATCCAGCGGTTGAATAGCAGGAGGTCGTGGGTTCGAGTCCCATAAGCTTGCTTGCCAAGGGTTTTTGGATAGAATTCTTTATGTCACTAGCAGTTTTTTCTTTCTTTAATGGGTAATTTCTTTACGCCGTCTCGATTCTTCATAAGAATAACTACGCAAATTGTAAACAAACAAGAAATTAAGGGAAGCCAATGGTGTAGGATCATCATTGCTTAACCCTAAAAGGGCCTGGTTATTTTGACCATTTCTCAGCCAGGGGGGCGGATTCCCCCCCCCCCTAAGATCTCGGCCATCGAGTGACAAAAATTTTTGAAACTCGGTACATGTATGGAGCAACTGTTCATGGTTTTGGAATTATCGCTAATTAATTATTCACATGTATGAATAGTAATTCTGGTCTGTGTACACGGCGTATATGGGAAAATTCAGTTTTCACGGCACACAGCGCCGGAAAATTTTTTGCTGCGCGACAACCCCTGGTCCGATTTTTATATTTTTGGTGTCAAAAGATGCTTAAGGCTCGACGCTAAAAAGTCATAACAGCTTGGGTCGCGAAAAAATTTTTTTAAAGGCTATCACGGAAAAAGTCGAGGGGGGGGGGGCCTTTTAGGGTTAAAGCGATTTGGCATTCTGGAGTCTGGACAACGGGCCTCCAAGATGGAGGACAACGGGCCTTTCATGAATTGTGTCTTTTGGTTTCCTGCTCAGTGCCAGGTTTCACGAAATCGGGAAGGCTCCTTACGAATAATATACAAATATTGACTGCCTGGAGTTGTGTAGTAAAACTAGCCTCCTGAGGTGATCCATGAAGCATTCTATTTTTCCCGAGGCTCCATGGATCACCAAGGGAGGACAGTTTTACTTCACCACGAGATAAAGCAGTCATTTTTTGTTTTATAACACCTCTCCCACAGATTATGCTTGATTTTACATGTAGGTGATAACTGATTCATTTAATCTGAATATAATAAAAATTAACTTTTATTTGAATACAAAATTAGTTGAAAATTAACTTGCACTTTTTGTAACTACCCCTTCGCAAAATGTTTGAACCCCATCTGTAGTGCATGCTTGGAAACAATATGCGCAACGGGCAATGCGCAATGGGCAATGCGCAACGGGCAATGCGCAACGGGCAATGCGCAACGGGCAATGCGCAACGGGCAATGCGCAACGGGCAATGCGCAACGGGCAATGCGCAACGGGCAATGCGCAACGGGCAATGCGCAACGGGCAATGCGCAACGGGCAATGCGCAAAGGGCAATGCGCAACGGGCAATGCGCAACGGGCAATGCGCAACGGGCAACACAAACACCCCTATGGGCAATTCCACGGTTACTCACTTAACATTTTCGTAACGTGAGTAACAGATTTTGTGTGTCTTGTTTATCATACATAACACACTTCTCTGGACGTCATCTTTGGTGCTTAGGTAGGTCTAGGTCTACTCTATCTACCATGGGGATAACAGTTATTAAACCTTTTCAGTAAGGTAATTACAGTCCAAGGAAACTCAAAAGTACATCAAAAATGTAACGTCAGTAACCCTGAAATTGCTCCTAAGATATTAGGGTTCAATGACTGCAAACAGGTAGTTGTTCACTATAGCAAGCCTAAAATGTCATCTGGGTGATTTTTGTCTACCAGCAAAGATTAAAGATTGAAGTTTAATATTGTAGTAATACTAGTTACATGTACACTGTTACTTGCAAGTGAAGATTTCATAGCGAATTCAGAATGTACTTTGCAGCCAATAGGGTCCATTGATTTACTGAATTACTCGATGTCAAAGTGATCAATATCGTTGATATCATTTATTTAAAATCATTTCGAGTTAATCGACAATGATCGAAAAAATATGTGTCTCTGCCACGTATGTTCGTCCCTTCCACTTAGTTTGTGCGCATGCGCCAAAATCTCGGCTAATTCTAGTGACTGTCGTGCGCAAGTGCATTGGCATGAACATATGAACTGCATGAGCGAGCGTGGATGGACCGCTGAAAAAAAGCTTTGTGTTGACAAAGACAAAGCAGGATCTGTTTTCCATCCTATATAAAAATACAAATGAGGTCGCTTGGAATCAGTGGTTTACAATGTTAAAGAAAATATACAACATTTGCAAACATCGAAAAACAAAACTACCAATTTTTTTACGAAATACCTTACTAGGATGTTGGTAAATGACAGTTTAAAGCATCCTGTAAATTTATGGCACCTTGTTTGAAGTCATTTTCAAGAAAATTTGTATTTTTGTATTAATTTCCAACGGTGGTCAGCCGACCACCGTTGGAAAAACCTAACTATTTTTCAACTACTGCTCCAAATTTACCACTTTTTTCAGTTCAAATTTTGTTTGCTATTGGTTACATGATCGTGAACGGGTGCAGGCCAGCTAGACTGGTTCCCTTACCTTACAATTTCCCTTACCTTACAATTTTCCGGCATCTATAAATTGATCCATTTCATCTTTAGTGGAGTCAGGGAACCAGACTACTTTAACGTTTCTGTTTTTGTTCTTTTTTCCCCAGCATTTTTGAACAAAAAACTTCAAATATGTCAGTGTAACAATATTTGATCCATTATACTAACTCCTCAATTAGTTCATTTCTGAAAATTACAGCAAAAGCCAATGATGTACATTCCCTTTAAACTACGTACTGGTACACAGTTAATTGAAACATACCGGTATGGTTATTGGAACTTTATCCACATCTGACATGTCTGAAGTCATTATCATTTTGGTTGTGTGGACAGTTCAGGGTTTTTTTTCAGGGGGTGGGGGAGGGCGGCTAATTGACTAATTGGCATGGCTCAAGAGCATAGTTTAAG